ACAATATTTTCACTTAGTGTTTTTTAGAATGATTTCACCAAAACACATCTATATTTAAAAAAAATATATTATTAAAACAATTAATAATAATAATAATAATAATAATAATAATAATAATAATAATAATATTATTATTATTATTATTATTATTATTATTATTATTATTATTATTATTATTATTATTATTATTATTATTATTATTATTATTATTATTATACTCTTAGGTCATTTTAAATGTTAATTTAAACAACTAATTTTTTTAAATATCATTTTACTAATCGTTGATATAATTCGCTGGTCAAATCCGCTAATATAATCTGCTAACGCTAACCGCTAGCTGCTGATTGTCAAACAAGGACATTGCGAGGTAGTTTTTCACTTCAATTTGTTGTGTGATCTGAATACTCGTCAACAAATCCCTCAAGTAGTTATTCTGATTGGCTTTATTAATTTAAATGTTTTCATGGTATTAATAAAATACTTGGTAAATAAATATATATCATTATTTTGTATTATAACTTTAATATTTAATTAAAAAATAGTGCACAAAATGTAGTGAATATAATCAATTGATGAATTTGAATGTAAAGAATTTTTCCATTTGAGAAAAATAAAGACAATATAACTAATGAAATTATTTCTCTTAATTAATTTATTGATAATGAATAATTTTTTTTAATAAAAATATTGTAGGGGACACTATAGCGAATATAATCAATTGTTGAATTTGAATTTTGAATGTAAAGAATTTTTATATTTGAGAAAAATAAAGACAATATAACTAATGAAATTATTTCTCTTATTTAATTTATTGATAATGAATAATTTTTTTTTTTTGAATAAAGACATTGTAGACACATACATAATTCTAAATTAAAGAAATGCATATGTATTATTTTTTGTTGTAGCTACTAAATTATTATTTACATACACAATTCTAATAAGAGCCAATAATGTTAGGACCTTAACTGAAATAAAAAAAAAATATCGGTACTAATTGTTTCTTAAATTGAATGGTTCATATTATTTTGATTTTAAAATTTTTAATGATTTTCCTTATTTACCTTTTATTATATTATTTTCTTTCCTTAAATAACCTTAATTCCGTTAGTATAAACTTCATTAACGGAATATTCCGTTAACTATTTATTATTCTTAACTTACTCATTAATTTCTATAAGAAAGGTCTTAGGTTCGAACCTCATTCCAATTAGAGTTAGCATAATTGTTAAACATATACTACGAATATGTTAAAATGTATTAAAAAATATAATATAAAATTTAACATAAACTTTGGTCAAATAATTAGCCCGACTAAATACGTAGCACTCAATGATTATAAATCAAGAACTTTGAAAATCATTTGATTTTCTTTCATTAAAAAAATAATAAATTTAAGTTCAATTTTTTTTTTCGATTAATTAATCTTCTTTTGATTATTGAGAACAAAACTTAATATTTCAATTATGCTTTATCAATGCATGAAAACTTCTAAAGAAATTTGTAAGTTAATTTTTACTATATTATTATAATAATATCTATTGTAACCTTATATTTTGAATTATTTATTATCATCATCTATTGACACTAATTTGACAAACTCTCAAAACAATTTGTCTCAACAACGAATAAAAATTCAAAAAAATCAATGATTTCATTATCGTGGATGAAAAGTATGTACGCCACTTTATTCAATCGTTATGTTATGGAACGTGTCCACCTTGCAATGTGGACACAGTTCTATGTTCATAATTACTGAACTATATGTTCATAATTATAAAGCTATATATTTATAATTTTTGAACTTCATATTCATAATTATTGAACTCTATATTCATAATTACAGAACTCTATGTTCATAATTACTGAACTATATGTTCATAATTATAAAGCTATATATTCATAATTTTTTAACTTCATATTCACAATTATTAAATCTCTATATTCATAATTACAGAACTATATGTTCATAATTATGTTCACAACTCTATGTTCATAATTAAACAACTATATGTTCATAATTTTGAACTATATATTCATAATTATGAACAGTTTTGGAACCGTGTCCACCTTGCAAGGTGGACATGGTTCCACAGCATAATTTTCCCACTTTATTGCTCTTATTACTTAAATTAAAAAATAAATTAGTGGCTACAACAAAAAATAATACATATGCATTTAATTAATTTAGAATGAGATGTCTCACAACGCATGAAACATGTAGGGGAAAACTACCACTACCAAATATCAACATGTGCTTGTAAGATAAATAGTTCATAGCACAATTAAGATCTCAGTCATATACACAACAAGACAAATCTAAAACTTTATACACCTTAATCTCATTGCATGATGAATTCCTCTATGATACCACCAATAACTCAATTACACATGACACACTACCAAAAAAAAAAAAAAAAAAAAAAAAAAAGACATGTACTGAAAATGAAAACAATAAAAATGCTACCCAAAAGAAAATTAGAAAAATTTAAACCAAAAATAGTATTTATTTAGACTTAGCACTTAGATTAGCGTTATTACAAAGTTGCAAACATTTATTTTTGTGACAGTTATATATAATTAATCTCTCATATATTATCTTGCATTTATATACTTTAAATTACCGATTTAAATAAACAAATTCAACATTTATTTGCCTATGCATGAACATCTTTTATATAATATTGCATTGATATATTTTGAAATACTTATTTAAAAATAAGTATTGGGCATTATCCCATTTGCGCAAAGCGCGTAGAAAAACTAGTAATTTAATAAGAGTAAAATAGAGTACTAATTATGCCAACTTTGATTGAGATGTGGTTCGAACCTAAGACCTTTCTTATTGAAATTAATGAGTAAGTTAACGGTGAACTAATATAAACTAACGAAAACGATAATATTTAACGAAAAAGTTAACGGATAATGATATTATTAAGGATAAATTAGGAAATCTCAAAAAAAAAAAAAAAAAATTGGTCAATCTGAGCCATTCATTTAATTAAAAATTTTGACCGCCATTTTTTCTACCCATTATAGGCCTAACTCTCTTGGGCTCTTATTAGTATAGTAGATAATTGTATGGGTATGTCTGAAACCAAATACGGGATATACGAGATAGCAGATAAAAATTAGGGAATAAAATATTAAATATATACTAATATTATTTGAGGAGATTCTGACAGTATGATTTGTGGTTAAAGTTCTATTAAGACTTTAATATTAGAATTAGACTAATGGTGAATTAATGGTATTTAGCAAAAAAAATTAATGACTAAACCATTCATTTGATTTAATAATTTGACGGTCATTTTTTATATTTTTTTTCTACCCAATGTTTATAATTAAATAAGTATTTGAAAGTATATCAATCCAAGATTATATATGAGAAGTTCATACATAAGTAATTTAATGTCGAATTTGTTTATTTAAATATGTAACTCATAGTATATGAATACAATGTAATATAGGAGATTCATTATAATTGTTACTAAACTTTTTTTAAATAGTACCCAAAGGTATTGGAAAATTTTAATTATAATGTAACCCAAAAATATTGGACAATTGGTAATATGATGTAACCCAAAGATCAAAATGCTAAAAAAAAGTGTATGGTTATTCAACAGTTTGAAGCAACAATTTGTTCCAAATCACTGAAAATACAAACATTGCAATTTGCAATTTACACTACAGTGTGTCTAAACTGACACTATCTCACATATTATTTTTATATTATCAAATGAAACTACAGTTATATCAAAATGATACTGTAGTTGTGGTGAAACGAAATTACAGTATATATAAAATGAAACTGAATAGCATTTCACATATTTGAGTGTATATTGTACAATGAAGCTGTAATTATATTAAAATGATCATGTAGTTGTGTTTTAATGAAATTATAGTGTATATAAAATAAAATTAAATAACATTTTCACATATTTGAGTGTATAAATATTGAATAAAATTGTAGTTATATCGAAATGAAACTGTAGTTGTGTTGAACTGAAACTGCAGTGTATACAAAATGAAACTGAAGAACAGATTTATTTTTTGCGAAGATTCTGTTTCTTTTCATTAAATAAAATGACGTTGTTTTGACAGTGTCGATTTAGACACACTGTAGTGTCTGACGCGCGGTGCACGATATAATTTGCCCCTGGTATAACGCAAATTATGCTGTGCAACCGTGTCCAAAAACGACGTCGTTTTGACTAAAAACGCGCGTCCCACTTTAAAAAAAAAAATCAGGTTCGATTCCTGGCAATAGCATTTTTTTGTACATAATTTGAATTATATATCCACTTATTCATAACTATATATCCACAGTGAACGAATAACACAAAATTCAGAATGAATAAACTAAATATCCACAATGAATGAACTAAATATCCACAATCAATGAACTAAATATCCACAATGAATGAACTAAATATCCACAATGAATGAACAACATAATGCTGTTGAGGAGAATCAAAACTGATTTTTTTTTTTTAAATGGGACGCGCGTTTTTATTTAAAACGACGTCGTTTTGCAACCGTGTGCACTATGCACATCACAACTATTGCTGGTATAAGGATGGGTGGAGTTTGGCAAATTATTGTGTGGACCAATGTTATTTGGACCATGGTCCACACAATGTTATTTGGACCATACCAAAAAGTATATTTTTAATATACTAAATGTATATTATTTTTATACTGTATGTATATTATACAATATAATGTACACTCAGTACAAAAATAATGTACATTCCCTGAATACAATATACATTTTTTTGTATTAGATGTACATTATTTTTATACTGAATGTACATTATTTTACAGTATACAAAATATGGTCCATACAATTTGTGTGGACCAATGATTGGTAGAGTTTGGTCATTTTGGGCTCTATGCCTTTTATCATTTCACATATGTTTCGGGCCTTAATAAATTCAGTCCAAACAAAATAGTTTATCATGCGATGCCTGAAGCCTAATACTTTGGGAGTTTGTTCAGTACGCAGAGTCCATCAAAGGATCCGAATAGGCTAACTTCCAAAGTTCCATTTCAGTTAGGGTTCAATGGTAGGGTTTAAGCGTTGAACCTTTTTGTTCATCAAATCTCATGTTATGGCCATTTTGCCAAAGGATTCTGTGCAAGAACACCAGCGAGCAGGTACAGAATTTACTTAATTTATTGCCCGCATGATTTTGCCATGTGTCTTGGAGAGGGTAATTCTAATGAACCAATCTCAAAGAACACCGGTAGAGCAAAAAGCCACATTTCTGAAAGTTGAGAAGCCTGAACTTCAAGCCTCTGGAAAACACAGGAAGTTCCCCTTTACGGAAGCCTGCCTGTATTGAGAAGAATGAAGCTAAAGCGAGACAAATGAAGTGCGTATGCTGTTCGATGAAATGCCTGAGTGAAGAATGGTACCTTTGCGGAGTTTAATTAGGATAAGTGCATCTGGTGATGTTTATCAACTTTTTTAAATCAAATTTCGCACAGTACACTGTACGTGACTCATTTTCCATATAAGTTTATCGGTGAGTTTGGTATGGAACTGTATTCCTTTGAAAAGTGATAACGTTGGGTGTTTTATTTTTAAGAACAAATTTAAGGACTTAGGCGGAATAAGTGGTAAACTTTGGACTACAGTTACCATTTCCTCAAAGTATGATGCGTGGACAGTTGATAGTATTAAGTCATAAGGTGCTATCAAGAACTTCAGTTTTGACACAAAGAAAGTATGCTGTAGTGACACAGTCATTGAATACTTGCAACCCTGTAAATAAAGGATTTATTTTGTTTCGAGAATTTATATACACTTCTACACATACCAGAAGGACATCAGATCCTAATGATCCAGCTACCTTGATGAAGGAGGATGGGGTCTCAGCTTGTACTAAAATGTGGATTGAGAATTTTCGGGAACCGGAGAGAAATGTGTCCAATTTGACTGATTATTTGAGGAGATTTGAGCTGTGGGTGTTGGCATACCAGAAGGTTTGTGCGGATGACACTGGTGCATATATGTCCCGAAGCTCAATAACAAGGTCAGCTCTAGAGGATTTGTTGGCATTGAGGAATGCAGTTCTGGATAATAGGTTCAAGTGGGGGGCTAGGCTGGAATTTTTTATTAAGTCTCCTAGAGATAAGACTGAGTATGACTCATTGTCTAAGAGGAAGATCAAGGCTATCCTGACTACCACACAGCCAGCCCCTTTCCAGGATAGAATTGTTCAAGAGGTGTTGTTTCTTATGTTGGAGCCAATTTATGAGGCCCGGTTTTCAGAGAAGTCTTTTGCATTTAGACCAGGAAGGACTGCACATACCGTTTTGAGGGTGATACGAAGGAGCTTTGCAGGTTACCTGTGGTACATAAAAGGGGACTTGAGTACAGTGTTGGATGGAATGAAGGTTGGGCTTGTGATAAGTGCCTTGATGAGGGATGTTAGGGACAAGAAAGTGATTGATTTGATTAAGGCAGCTTTAACTACTCCAGTGATAACTAGTAGGCCTGAGGATGGTGAGAAGAAGAAAAAGAAGAAGAGGAAGTACCAGAAGAAGAGAGTTCTGGCAGACGACGAACCAAAACCAGATCCATACTGGCTGGAAACCTTCTTTGGCTTCGCACCTGAAGAAGCTGAAAAACTTCCTTCATGGGGTCACTGTGGTATATTGAGTCCACTTTTGGCTAACATTTGTCTTGATGAATTAGACAGATGGATGGAAGGTAAGATCAAGGAATTTTATCGACCTTCAAAGAGTGATGTCATTTGGAATAGCCCTGAAGGGGAAGTTGAACAGGGAAATACTTCATGGCCAGAATTTGTTCCTACAAGTGGGCCAGATAAGACCAGGAAAATGGACTATATTCGTTTTGGTGGTCACATTCTGATTGGAGTAAGGGGTCCTAGGGCAGATGCAGCAACACTGAGAAAGCAGTTGATTGAGTTCTGTGATCAGAAGTATATGCTTAAGCTTGATAACGAGAGCCTTCCTATTGAACACATAACTAAAGGTATTATGTTTCTTGATCATGTCTTGTGCCGTAGAGTTGTGTATCCCACGCTCCGATATACTGCTACTGGTGGCAAAATAATTAGTGAAAAAGGTGTTGGGACACTGTTATCTGTTACAGCTAGCCTGAAGCAGTGCATTAAACAATTTAGAAAACTGAGCTTCCTTAAGGGAGATAGAGACCCAGACCCACAGCCATGCTTTAGAATGTTTCATGCTACTCAAGCCCATACAAATGCCCAAATGAATAAGTTATTGGCTACGATGGTTGAGTGGTATAGATATGCTGACAATAGAAAGAAGGTTGTCAATTTCTGTGCCTATATCATAAGGGGTTCCCTTGCAAAGCTCTATGCTGCAAAATATAAGCTTCGGTCACGAGCTAAAGTTTTCAAGATTGGTTCTAGAGATCTTCGCCGTCCCCTGAAGGAGAAAAAGGGACAGTCTCCAGAGTATCAGCAGTTACTTAGAATGGGGTTGGTGGAGTCAATTGATGGGCTATTGTATACCCGCATGTCCCTTGTGCCAGAAACTGATTACACCCCCTTTCCTGTTGGGTGGAGGCCTGATCATGAGAAGGCATTGGTTGAATATATAAAGCTTGATGACTCAAGAACATTGGAGGAGCAGCGCCACTGCTTCAAAGAACAAGGCCTCATTTCACCTCAGGACTACATTTCAATGCTTGTCTGGAACTACAAAAGAAATGCTTTAGCAGTGGATTTGCCCTCAACTATAAATGATAGGAACATGACAGAAGGGAAACATTTGCAATTGGACACAGGTAATGAGGATGACAGTCAAAATGATGGGAGTGATGAAGATAATGAGAAAGATTTTCATGCTGCACAAATGTAAGCTGATCTGATGTTTTTAAAAGATGCTATATTCAAGCTATTTTGTTAAATATATCTGCAAACAAAGATAACAGATAGAGCAGCTTGTATATGAAATCCAATTTAATATATTAAGTCATTTCAACCGCCTACCTCCGCTTTGTCTTTTATTACATTCACATGCATGGGTGCACTAACAGACATATGTATACACATTTATTTTGGAACTTTTGTTTATTATGTGCACCTCAACCAACTGAACCAAGTACTATAACCCTTGGAATGAAGGAATAGAGGAAGTAAGACTTGAAAGATAAATTGTGAGTGTGCTCATACTTTGTAGTTCTGGTTGCCAGCTTATTATCCTATGTTAGTATGAAATGTTTTGGAAATGCAGTTACAAATCCCTTGAATTTTCCAAACACTTCATGGTGCTTTTGCGAATATTCAAAAAATGTTAATACTTCCACTTACAATTTGCAACTCATTTTGGAAATATTGTAAAAGGAATTTCAGAATATTGTCTTATGATTGTCAAATATGTTTATAGACATTAATTACAATGTGCATTACAAAAAATTACAAATTTCTATTATTTTCCTTGGATACTAGTATACTACTTTAGCCATTAGAAAAGTGGCATGCAAATGAGGCAAAAAATCCTCCCTTCTCTATAACTGGACAGCCATTCAGGCCGCATGATGAGATCTGGGGGGAAAGAGTTTGTTATCCTATTGCTTTGTTCTTAACTCTGTAAGTCACATTCTCCTATCTTACTGAGTGACTCTTAGTCTTCTGTATTATTGTGGTCATTTAAGTTGGATGCAGTTTGCATGAAAAAAGTAAAAAATGTCATATTGAGTGAACTTCAGGTCCTGTAAGCCCATTAATTACATTTCTGACAAGTGACAACTGCAAAGGAAATTAAGAATATAGAGGTTAGCATTTCTGACATTATTAGTATACCTTATTTTATTTTACTATTTTACTTCATATATGTGCACAATCATGGGAATCTTTTGCCATTTGGTTATGGTCTTTTTCAATGCATACTCTCTTCTTTTACCAACCAACTCTACTTGGAGACATAGGACTCATCTCTGTTATTAAGACTAAATGGAGGCATAGAACCCATGTGTTTACCTGAATCCAATTCGAGTGGAATTCATTCTAAATTGAGTGGTGTTAATTGCTAGTTTTTTGTTGGCTAGCAAAGTGGAAAATAATATCCTTCTCTAATGCTCAAGCTTGCTGAGCAATGTGCAATTACTCTCACCCCAAGAAATGACTGCATGTTAAATTTGAGTCGTACTTTGCTAAATGTAGTACAATTTATGTATTTCATGCATGATACCACTGCTCTAGCGAAGGTATTTACTTCTTTGGTTTGCAGGACTCTCTTATCAAGTGCAGTTCCACCAATGGGGCAAGGCTAATCTGAACTTGTACCTGAGGTAAACCTTTGTATTAATTCGAATATTGCTCAAGTCTAAGATGGTTGAGAAGCAAAAATTAAGGCAAATTATTGACAATGGTCTGTTCGATGGAATATGACAGACTGCTTCATATGACTAGAAGGATAAATTGAGCCTTGAACAAGCAACTCTAAATCTTGAATAGAATTTCTGCATCAAATGACACATATCTTGTGGAAAAAATAAAAAAAAATGAATTAAAACTCTTTCAATTATCTATTAGTATCACATCCTACTTTGTAACTTGATTTTCTTTTAAACTTCTGTTACTTCTAACTTTAGTGCTATTCTCTGGTTCTACCGTTCTACTTGAAATTTTGAATTGAAAGCTGAATGCTTGATTTTAACATTGCTCTTGCAAACAAAGTTCTTGATTGCTTTGATCCAATCAGCCATTATCTGTGACCAATATAGGTTCTTAGCTTCCAATTTTAAATGGTTAAATGTGGGTGGCTAGCGGGCACTGGAAAATAGATTACAGGATTATTGATAGGTGATCTGTCATTATGTAATTCATTTAAAGGAAAACACAAATAAATTGATATTTTTATCTGGAAAGAAATAACTTAATAAATGAATATGAAATAAATTGAGATCTATCCAATAATCTTCATCTAATTAATGTGAAATTCATTTGTAATTTTGCTTTTCATTTTTCCATTTTAAATGCTAGTTGTTTAATGAGTCATTATATTTTTTATTTACATAGTGACGTGTTATTTGCTACTAGTCTAGTCAACTTCTTTCAACACCTACCTAGTTATCACCATAGTTGCTGAAAGTTTCAAGTCTGTCCTACATTGGGCTCAAAGTTGAGATTCTTAAACAATAATTTTTCTCCTTGCTAAAAAAGTGCAGAAAAAAAAATTGTTCTTTTGATTGCACCAGTATGGAGTATTTCCATATTCAATGCATGGTCTTAAAAGCCAGTTAAGAGAATTGAAATTAAATTGTCTATGGGGTTAAGTTTTATAATGTTGTATTAAATCTTTTTTAATGTGTTTTTAGGAAAATGTTATTTCTTATAACAATGTAATGATATTTACAATTACAAATTCAGAATGTTTATAATGTAAATGTCACCTTCATTAATTTCAGTTACAAATTCAGAATGTTTATAATGTAAATGTCACCTTCATTAATTTCAGTTAGCTGAAAATGATTGAAATTTTCCCGTCAACACCTCAATGGGGACTCGTCTGGCGACTCTGTGAATCTGTCTTCCCATGCTGTGTCTGTCATCGCGACACTCAGGTATATATTTGTTGCATTAGAATCTCCAGATTACAACTTCCCGGTGGAGTCTACAATCGTTCGAATGGCACCTGTATGAAGTTCCAAGCAGTCCATCAAAAGGGGCACTTGGTATACTGTTGAAAGTTTTGAGTTCAGAGCTAGCTTTACTGCTATGATCGCTCTACTGTTGAGGTTATATTATGGACTGCTCGAAGGAAGTAGCTAAAGACAGCCGACTTTTGGGTGCATATGTGCAATTCGAGTTGATCAAAGTGGCCGATGGTCGAGCAATGGGGGTTGGTGTTTGCGGGAGGAACTGAAAAGGAAGGCGCAGCGGGGAAGAGTAGTAGTCTTCCATTTTGGTGGGTAGTGAAGTTGGCTTCTATGTACTTGGTGGTGGGTAGAGAATGGACATACGAGAGGAAGTTTCCTAGATGCATGCTTATTATAACATTAAGATAAAAGTTTGGGAAAATTGCATTTTTTATTGTCATAATTGACATGGTAAATTTCTCTTTTTTTTTTTTAACAGGTTGTTCTCACTTCTCATCCCTAAGATATTATTGACATTGTAAATTTCATTCTCATTTTTTGTTCTTAAGCTATAATTGATGTTGTAAATTTTTCCCTTAATGTTTTATTAGAAAAAAGATGAAATTTGCAATCACCAGTTATAATCTAGAGACAAGAAGTGAGCACAACTAACAAGTAGAGATGAATATGTGATTTTTCTTAAAAGTTTACTGCAAAGTACGAGGAAATGAACCTGAACCTAAAAAGTTTTCTTGAATGAGTTTCTTGAGATCTAATGTATTATTAAGAATCAACAACTCATCACAAAATTAATAAATACGTCTGGTCGAAATGTGAGGAGTCTTGGGATTGGAGAAAACTTTCACATCAAGGCTACATAATGGCATATATCTTAAACCACAAATTATCTAAAATTTGATTATATTATTTTAAATCAGTTAAACAATATTTGACAATATACATAATTATTATTTATTTTTGCATATAATAATCCCAACATTAAATTAAAGACCCAACAGAATCTTCATAGATGCATGGCTAAAACTTAAGGTTTTTTTTTTTTTTTTTTTAATATAAAAATTATGGAAGTACAAAGAACTGAACTTGAAGATAAGCCTAGAATTATTCCAGATGAAAAGAAAGAAAGAAACTCCTTCAATTTCAACCGAAATTATTGATACAAAGAAGAAAACAAATATATTTTTGTGATTTTAAACATGATAACAATATCTTCTTTTGCGGTTCTGATCTGACTAATAAATGTGAGTGGTTGTATGGGACAAGCACTGAAGCAAGTAATAAATAACCGCCAAAACTTGAGGTTCTTACTTCTTAGAAAGCATCAACCCAGCAGGCTGTGAAGCAATAATATCAGGCGCCAAACATCCACAAAAACAACTACCAGTCCAGATTATTGATCTAGTGAACAAGAAGTCTCACTTAAAACTTGTTTCATTGTCAGGAGGCACAAAAATACCAATGGCCATTGTAAGAATTTTGAACCTATGACCTTTGACATGAGATTGACTTTAATATCAAATTGAAAGATAATATTTCATCATCTTAATTAAGTTGATAGTTGCATTGCACATTTATATTTATATTATTATATATGGTCAAACACTATCCATTAATTTGAAGGTGTTTTTAGTGGGTCTACATGCAGTACTGCAAGCTATAGCTAGCTAATGCATGAAATTATTACAAAAGTTTTAGAAATATAATCACATTTCCTGATCTAATGAAGCCTTCAATTCCTACCATTACCAACAACTAATTAAGAAAATTTCCTCATTACTTCTTCTCCGCCGGAAACAAGTTTGGTGATGCACAAAGCAATCTCACTGAGCCGGAAAAGATTCTCATTCTCCTCCGTCAACGGCGGCGCCGCCGCCATCTCCACCTCCTTCTCCTTAAACCCCTCTTCGCAAGTCGACGCGGTTTCCATCACGGCACTCAACAGTATATTAGCGGTACTAAAACGCCTGGTAAAGAACTCCCAAAAGGAGTCCACAAGCATCACAATGGCGTCGGCGTAGAGCTCCAAGCAGTCTCTCAAGCACCCCACCGCAAAGGGATCAAACGCCGCCGCGCCGGCCAGCATCTCCTGGATGGTGGACACCGTGGCGGTGGCGTTCTGCAGAGCCAGCTCCACTGCAACCACCGCAATTCCTTCGAGGTTAGCGGCGTGGGTGATGGGGATGGGTTGAAGAGAGGTGACGCAGAAGTCGTAGTTGAAGACGGCCGAGCTTTGGGCGCACTGCGTGCAGGTTGAGTTGATTAGATCGATGAATGGTGTGGCCTCGGCCGGCGTCACGGTTGCCGGAGGAATGAGAAAGAGGAAGAAGCAGACAAGGGAGAAAGAGCAGCGTTGTTCCATTTTCAATTGTGTTGGGGTTTCTTGTGATCAGTCCGTTTTTATTCACTCGGGGGAGTGGGGAATGGACAAATTAAAGGAGCAACATAAAGGAAGCTTCCTAGGAACATAGCTAAACCTTCCATTGAAGTACTAGAGTTTATAAAGTTGGTTGGTTAATAATTAACTCATGCGTATGCCTTAATAATGAAATGTGGATATACATGCCCGCATGGACACTTTAACTGGTCATAGAGGTGAAAGTTGGAAAGAATGACCAGTGATTGAGTCTCACCAGCGACAGTGTGGGAGCAACCTCTCAAAGTGAGAGGCTCCTTGTGTGCAGTAAGCAAAGGTCTTGCAGGTCTGGCCTCTGTGGTTCATGTTCAGTTGAGTTACCATGATTTACATCCTCCCATATGTTCTGTCGGGCCGAGATGGGTGTGACAAGTCTGACCTCTGTGGTTCATGTTCAGTTGAGTTATCATGATTTACATCCTCCCAATATTCTGTCAGACCGAAGTCAGGGTGTTGGGGGCCCTTAGGTTTGGGTTCAATCTTGGAAAGAATGGATATACAAAGTCACTATTCTTCTCGAGTCTAAATATATAGAAAAAGATCACGTAATAAAGACATATTTTCAATAAAAAATTAAGAATCAATCTTGTAAGTATATAAATAATACACCTTTTAGCACTTTATTATTGGCTAATTATTTGACGACAAACCATATAGGCCCAGTCTCTTTGGTAAAATGTTAGCATATGAGATAATTTTGACTTATTTGACCACTATTAATTATTTGGCTTGATTAAAAAATCAATATAAGTATTTAGTTAATTAGCTTTTTGTAACTTCAAAATGCCAAAATTCGAAAAGCTATTCAAATCAACTTTTTCAATTAGCTTTTTAAGAAAAGAAATTATACTAAACAGCTACCAGCTAACAGCTAATTTACTCCGCACATTCCTACCATTACTTGATGTTATCAACTATTATAGTCTCTAATTAACCCAATCAGCTAAAACTAACATCATTTTACCAAATATGGTCATAATTAATTCGTTAGTTACACTTTTGTGCTTTAGTCGTCTTCCATTCGTAGCTGACAGTTGTTGTGCCTAAGAGAGTCCGTCTAGGTGAATCTCGATAGAATTTCAGTATTGTACAAAGCCAATTTGAATTGAATGTCTCACCTTATTTCGAGGAGATCACACGCAACAAACATTCAGTCCTTAGTATCCATTGGCTGCCACTATATAAAGAGACCTGAAGGATCGGACAAAGCAAATCAACAATTACTACAAAGATGGTTAAACATCAAGAGCGATATCGCAGACGAATCATGAATTAAACGAGCTATTTCTCTCCAACTTTCCTCTCGCGTGTTGTGTCCTTTGGTAAGTTTCCGGTAGATCCACCTTCGGTGGAACTTGCCTTTCATGGACGATGTGGCCGGAGGGTCGCCGTCAGCCGCCCAGCCGGTGGCAGAAGGTGAGTCACGAAGGGCCTCCCACACAAACAAGAGAGTGAAGATCCTCAAACGTTCCTTTGCGGAAACCGCAGCAATCCATCCCATGCTAGACGATGACCAGATGGCTGAAGTGACGGACGATGACTGGCTGGGGGAAGGCTTCGTGGTTGAGCCAGACAAAGAAACAGAGGATACGAGAGATGGCATCCCAGTCGCGAAGTTTTCCAAGGCCTTCCGGGAAGATCTTGTGAAACCTTGGCGTAAGGCGCTTATTATCAAATTTTTAGGGAAGCCACCGGCATTCCCTCTCTTGAAGCAAAGACTGACCAAACTATGGAACATCAACGAAAAGGTGGATATGATAGACATCGACTTTAGTTACTACATCATCCGCTTTAACGTTGCCTCTGAGTACAGGCACGTCCTCCTTGATGGGCCATGGAAGTTGTTTGGTTGCTATGTCATCCCGCAAAGATGGAGACCAAATTTCGATCCCCAGACTGCTAAAATGGAGAAGATGACTGTGTGGGTTCGTCTTCCGGGCCTAGGAGCGGAATACTACCGCGACGACGCAGTCAAGAATATACTCAATCACGTGGGAAAGCCGATCAAACTTGATAGATGCACATCGGGTATTGATCGTGGCATGTTCGCTCGAGCGGCTGTTGAGGTAGATCTATTGAAACCTCTAGTCTCGATGATATGGGTTCTCGATCGGATCCAAAAGGTGGAGTTTGAAGGCCTGCATACCATATGCTTCACATGTGGGGAAGTAGGCCATGTCTCCAACCACTGCAATCTGAACAAGTCGCCGGAACAGAATATTCCGAACACCAATCCTATGTCGGAGATGAACGTCGACGGCGCTGGGAAGGCTAACGAAAAAGAAACGCCGATGGCGGCTCCGTTGAAGAAGTATGGTCCTTGGATGATTGTGTCCTATAAGGACAAGAAATCCAAGAATGATAGTCGCAACCCACCAAAATCGACTATTGCAAAAACCAGACCTAAAGAGTCAACTAATAAAGGCAAAAGGGTGGTGGTTGACGTTGAACCTGAAGCCAGTAAGACGGCAGCTGCGCAAGGGAAATCCAAAATGACATCCCCTCCGGTGAACAAGGTGAGTCCACCGGCCCCTATTGCATTAAATGTTAGTAATGGGTTTTCTGTTTTACAGGAGATTGACGACTTGCATGAAACTCCCATATTTCTGGAAGGGGATCCTAGTGGGAAGCAGAAAACCACGAAGAAACCTCCGAGAAGCAGAAGAGGCAAGCTGCAAAAAAAAACGTGGAAAACTCTAATCAGACTACTGCCGTGAAGGTTAACCAACCAGCTCCTCAGTCTACCCAGAGATTTGCTGGTGGTTTTGTCTTTGGAATAACGCAACATAACAGTTCCAATGATATCAGTTTGGAAAAAACTACAGAAGGGAGAGAAAGCACAATGCCTAGTACTCCCAATTTGATGACGCTTAAGGAAGGCAGTGTCCTAACTTCCTTGTCCCCTCAACCCCCTATATGACGATTGTTTCGTGGAATTATCGGGGTGTTGGGAACAAGGAAACGATCTGTCACGCCAAAGTAGTCATGGACAACAGCAACGTGAGAGCTATCTGTTTCCTTGAAACCAAGACGAGCAAAACCGACAACCTTCTCAAGGCGCTCAGTAAGTGGGGCTTTAATAAATTTTTTATTGTTAATCCGCTTGGTTTTGCAGGCGGTCTTCTTCTAGTTTGGAACAGTAACCTCCTCAACTTAGAAGTGGTGGGAAGCAATTCTCAAACTATTCACTGTAAAGTCAAGGAAGGTGGGAACTCGTCCATGTATCACTCTTTCGCATACATTAGGCCTAATTTGAGGGCCAAAGAAGTGTTCTGGCATGACTGCAGAGTCTTTTCTAAGTCCATAACTGGGCTGTGGGTCATACAGGGGGACTTCAACGACATTGCGAAAAGAAATGAACACTGGGGAAATGATCATGTTAATCCCCATAATCTGAACAGATTCTGTACAGCTTTTGAGAACTGTGGTCTCATGGAAGTCAACTCCATAGGACCGTCCTTCACGTGGTGTAGACATATTGGGGGCCGGATGATCACTAGACGTAAGCTTGACCGTGTCTTCTGGAATATTGAAGCCCAAGAGGCTTTCCCGGAAGCTAAAGCCAAAGTCCTTACTAGAACACATTCGGATCACCACCCTATTGCTTTCATTAGACATGCTGGATCGGCCCCGGTAAGGGGTAATATGCCTTACCGGTTCGAAGCAGCTTGGCTTACTCATGACGACTACAAAAGGATTTGGAAAACTGCCTGGAAAGACAGAGATGGTAATGTGGTGGAAGCCATCGATGAAGTTACAAGGCTTAGCAAGCAATGGAATGAAGAGGTGTTTGGTAATATTTTCAAAAGAAAACGTCAGCTGCAAGCCAGACTACAAGGTATCCAAAACTTGACTTGGTATCACTCCCGGGGGCTCCAAGTTCTGGAAAAGAAACTTAAGGAGGATCTTAATAAAACGCTAGCCCAAGAAGAGCTCCTTTGGTTCCAGAAATCCAGAAAAGCTTGGATCAAAGACGGGGACAAGAATACCCGCTTCTTTCACCGTTCCACTATCATTCGATGAAGTAGAGGAAGAATCAGAGCCCTCAAAATTAACGGCGAATGGAATACCAATGGTAAGACTCTTAAAGATCATGTCATCCATTTCTTTTCTAACCTTTTTTGTAGGGCCAACCAAGATGGAAATGCACCAACGAGCCATTATGGTAAAAAGCTCAATCCAATAGATGCCGAGAAACTTGTCCGTCCGGCTGACGTAGACGAAGTTAAAGCTGCAGTGTTCGGCATGAAACGTATGGGTAGTCCGGGCCCTGATGGCATTCAGGCAGCGTTCTATCAAGACTTCTGGCAAGAGGTAGGCGGATCTATAACTAAGATGGTGAATGAGGCCCTTATCTCGGCCACAGTTCCGCATTCTCTTTTGGAGGCTTTCATCACCTTGATACCAAAAAAAGACAACCCGGAAACCGCTGCAGACTTCCGGCCTATCACCCTCCTCAATGTCATGTTCAAAATTGTTTCGAAAGTCATTGTCAATAGGTTGAGACCGCTGATGAATAATTTGATTGGTCCCCATCAGAACAGCTTTTTACCGGGGAGATCTACTTTAGACTCACTCAAGAGATTGTCCACACCATCAATTAAAGAAAAGGTAAAAATGGTGCCTTTGTGATGAAGGTGGACCTTCATAAAGCTTATGACAGCATAGACTGGCGTTTCCTAGAAAGGGTACTCGTTGACTTTGGGTTCCCGAGTCGTTTGATCAAGCTAATTCTCTTCACCCTCAAAGAAAGCAACATCAAGATTCTCTGGAATGGAGAGAAGCTCGCTCCTTTCCAACCGGGGAGGGGTCTAAGACAAGGAGACCCCCCTAGCCCCCTATTTGTTTAACTTAGCTATGGAAAAGTTGTTTTATATGATTCAGCAAGAGGTCAACAGGAACAATTGGAAGCCTATCCACATCTCAAGGGGAGGAATTGGTATCTCGCACCTTTTCTTTGGATGACCTCATGCTCTTTGGAGAAGCATCGGAGAATCAAATCCACACGACGATGGACTGCTTGCACGATTTCTCTAGTTGGTCAGGTTTGCAAATTAATCTCAATAAATCTTTGATTTTCTGTTCTTCTAACACACTGAGTAGGGTCAATAGGAGGTTAGGTACCATCTCGGGCATTCCAGTGACGAAAAACCTTGGGAAATATCTTGGCATGCCCATACTGCAAAAGAGAGTTATTAAGAGACACTTTTCTTATAACTTGGACAACATGAGAAAAAAACTGACGAAGTGGAAGGCTGACACGTTAACTGTTGCTAGCAGACGTGTGCTGGTCCAGTCCGCCCTTGCAACCATACCTGTCTACTTGATGCAATCCATGGCTCTCCCCTCAGGTACGTGCAATGAAATTGATAAAATTTGCAGGGACTTCTTGTGGGGCTCCAACGATGCGAAAAAAAAAATCCACTCGGTGAATTGGAAGGAGGTTTGTACCCCACGGGAGGCCGGAGGCTTAGGCCTAGAAAGGCCGCGGACTTTAATTTGGCCCTCTTAGCGAAGCTAGCTTGGCAACTAATCAATGACTCGGACAAGCTTTGGGTCACAGCCCTGAATCATAAATACGTCCATAATGGTAACTTCTTCACTTCTGGCACTCCTAAGAAGGCCTCCTGGAGCTGGCGAAGTATTATCAAAGGGAGAAGTGTTATTGAAATCGGGGCGAAATGGAGAGTAGGGAACGGGGAGTCGTTAGATTTCTGGTCTGACGGGTGGATCAATGATAAACCCTTGGGATTAGAAAATTCAATAGACATCCCTGAAAGCTCCTACAACATGAAGGTAGCCGATTTCATTAATGAGGACAGGAACTGGAATTCGCATGCCTTAGAGGATGTGTTACCAGCCGAGCTCATCAACAAAATACGCACCATCCCCATTCCAGTTGATGAGACCACTTCCGGCAGACTCACCTAGCCAGGCTCCACTTCAGGTACGTTCTCCGTTAAATCTGCGTACAGGTTAATTTCAGGTACTGAGATGGAGAATAACAACTTGGATTGGATCTGGAACATGAAATGCGCGGAGAAGATCAAGTTCTTCCTGTGGCTCCTACACAAGGACAAGCTTCTCACAAACGTAGAACGGCGAAGGCGTAACCTCACCGATGATGCCAACTGCTTGAGATGTGAGAACGAAGAAGAATCGACGAACCACATCCTCCGGGAATGCGACTTCGCTGCTCAGTGTTGGGTGCACATCCAGAACATGGGAGGGATGACCTCTCACCCTTTTGCACCTTTCTGCCGGTGGTTCGAATGTAATGCCCGAAGCACGAAGATCATGCAGGATAGGACCCCTTGGAGCATTATGTTCACGTATACTATCTGGCTTCTCTGGAAAGCAAGAAATGATTTCATCTTCAATAGCAACGTTGGTGCTCCGCGCCAGGTGGCTATTCTCGCTCACAATTTGGCAAAAGAAGCCAAGGATAATCTCACGCAAAATAGGGGGACATCAGATGGTCTTTGGAAATGGATTATGTGGTTGCCACCACAAAGAGGATGGAGGAAATTAAATACGGACGGAGCAAAGAAAACCAACCCCGTCATGGCTAGCGCAGGGGGCCTAATCCGAGACGAGGGAGGCATTTGGGTTAAGGGTTTTGCTATCAAGATTGGTACTACAGATAGCTTCTCGGCTGAGCTGTGGGGCCTAAGGGAGGGTTTACGGCTCAGCCTGAGAATGGGGATCGACAAACTTTGGCTGGAAATGGACTCAGCAGCCATTATAGCGATCATGAACAAAAACGAGAAGTCCGAGACTATGATAACATTAGTCAAGGATTGCATCGACCTTGCGTCGAGATTTCACACAATCCGGTTCACCCACATTGAAAGGGAAGGGAATAAATGTGCTGACTGGCTAGCTAATTAATCTGGGCCAAGCGATCGACTGGGGTACTACTCTTCTGGAACAAGCGCCTACGGGACTGACCGATCTTCTTTCGGCCGATTTATGTAACACACCCTATTTAAGGGTTAGATAAAGCTCTCCTTAAGGGCTTCTACTTCACCAAAAAAAAAAAAAAAAAAAAAAAAAAAAAAAAAAAAAAAAAAACAATTACTACAAAGATTAATTTTATATTAGTGATCTACTTTGGCAAGATTTACTGCTCTAATTTGAAATTGAGTAAATTCCATTTTTAGTCCTCGACTATTGTAGCGTTGCCGCATTTACTCTTACTCTTTTAATTTTGTCATATTATATCCTCGACTTTAATTTGATTGTCAATATTAATCCTTCGTTAAAATTTTCGTTAATCTAGCGTTAAGAATAAGGTCAATGGTGTAATTTAATAACTTATCTCAAATACATATTAATGTAATCTTTTTTATTAAACTGCTATGTAATTAAATCTATAAAGTTTAAAAATGCAGAATTTAATTACATCCTGCATTGAGAATTTAATTAACTTGTATGATTGTATCAAATACATATAAAAAATAATCCATTAAAAATGGAATTTTCAATAACAAAAGAAGTCTTTATGTGTCAAACATTTCCTACAGGTGAATAGGTTTTCATTTGATACTCCATCTGTGATAAATAAATAAATAAAAACATAAATTTACATACTAAGTTGCATTTATTTAAACTTACTGCAAGCAGATCTTGAATGAAATCACTGACAAACCAAAAAAATAAGAGAAGCAATTTTCATGTGCTTTCATAGATCAATCTGTGTTACAGACTTACAGTATATGGATCATGTCATAGCTAAGAAATCTGCAATAATATCATTCAGTCTAATGCAAGTGAAGGAGGATCAATAGTTATTCCTCAAATACAAATTTTTACCAAACAAAGAAATAAGTTTATTATTAGAAATGCTGTCATTCCATGCCTATTCTGCGAACGAAACGTGCCATTATAGTAACTAGCATCGCCATTTTATCATAACAGAAGACATAAATTAAAGTGCATCATGTATGTGATTTTATTTATTTACTAGAGCCTAGTCAATTGTTTTAATTTCTTAGGATACTGCAAACTTAAACAGGAAAAGAAAATAAATAAATAAATCTCCATTAATATTGACAGTTTAATAAAAAAGATTACATTAATATGTATTTGAGACAAGTTATTAAATTACATTATTGATCTTATTTTTAACGGAAATTTTAACGGAAGATTAATATTGACAATCAAATTAAAGTCGATGATGTAATATGACAAAATTAAAAGAGTAGGACTAAATGTGGCAACGCCACAATAGTCGAGGACTAAAAATGGGATTTACTCTTTAAAATTGTTCTACTTAGCGTTCAAGAAATTCATCGAAGGGACGCTAAACTCTATTGAGACGTTGTGACGTTTTTTAGTAATTTTTTTTAACTTTATAAGTACACTGTACATTTTTGAATACTATACGGTGCACATTTCAACATTACATCGTGCATTTTTGGCTACTTTGAAAAAAACAGTACACTTAAAAATACATTTTAAATTTTATAATTTTGATTTTTGGTTTGATTTAGTGTTTCACATTTTAGTTTGATTAGTGTGTCAAATTTTACCAACATTTTTAAAACTTAAAAGGCAAGATAAGCAAACTAATCATTCATTAAACATTAAGCGGAAGCAAGTCTAAACGGAGAGATTATGCCACATCTTAAAGTACTAAAGATGCACATGCAAAACAAAACAACTAATTCAAAATCCAAGTCTATGGCTCACAGGCCGAACAACAACTAAGCGAAAGGTAAAGCTACACTAGCTAAGAGTCTTCACTACCGCGCTCGTCATCTACTCAACCTGTATAAGATAAGGGATAACACCCGGTCAGTGAATAAAGCTGGTAACCCATCAGTACGCGTTAAATAGCATAATGTATAGATAGATATAATAAAAAACGTTTGAGACTGAGGAATACAGTATATAGTCATTTTAAAACCAGAAGAAGGTCAACATCAAAGACTCATCACACCCTCAATAAAGACCGAGGATCATCAACCTCAACAAGACAACAAAGACCACAATCAACAAGGACAACACAACTCTAGATGCGACCTACCATTCACAAGGTAGAGTTCATCATAAACATGCTCAAAGGCAAGAAGCACAACAATCACACAATGACAACTCACATTATAGTTCCAAGTTCCAACCTTATGCCCTGTTCCAACCTTATGGCTACCCCCGACCTTATCACAGTTCCAACCATTACCTCCTAGTGCCACCCTGTACTTCTGAGTCCAACCTTATTCCGCCTGGGACCGTCGTCTCCCACCAATCTTTACCACCAATCAGAACCGTATTACCACCGATCTCATAGTACACGAGGGTACCGTACCGTTAAGCAACACAATATTACCACCGATCTCGTGAGCAAAGCTCAATAATATTACCACCAATCTCATTCATATTCACACATAGTCATCATCATCAATAAGACTAAGGCTCATCAATAGCACAATCAAGTATCAACAAAGGGTACAACGATTTATACAAGATAACATCATAAGAATCAACCAAGAGGTTTCAACAAGGACATGAGGCAATACTTAACAACAAAGGACTACAATCCAACATCAAAATGATTGGCAACACGAGTTGCCAATCCTCAACAAGAAGGAACAAACCATACATACTAGCATAACAACATCAAACTAGCATGCTCATCAAACGGGTAACCAAAATGGTTCCAACGAACCTTTAAGACTCATATTAGCCCAACGAATCACAAGGTTGGACCCTTAGCACGATTCAAGACACCAAATCCTAACATGGATTCCTAACACATCGTTCTAGACATACGAAACAACAAGAAGACTCACAAATGCTCAACAATCCAACAACGGGAGGTCAAAATATCAAATACCAAGAAGAAAGGATCACGGGGAACAAATCCCCGCAATCATCATATATGTCCCCCGCGGGTGGGGCCACGAGTAGGCCCCCACCCGTGGGCCTGCCCACGGGGTACACCCCGAGAACCACCACGTTCCCCACGGGTGGGGCGGCGGATAGGCCACTGCCCACAGTTCTGCCCGCGGGGTACACATCTTGTACAACATTTTTCCCTTCGGGAAAATTCATCAACAAAGCCAAGTTCAAGTCCAAAACACCCAAAATCTCACACACAACAAAGATATGACTTGAACCCAAGAATAAGCCAAGCAATGGCATTCAAGAAACCTAAATACAAGCTCTAAACATGCATTATCACAAGAGCATGCATCAAATCACTCACAACATCAAGAATCATCAAATATAAGCCAAGAAATACCAATAGCAAGCACAAAATAGGTTTTGTATAGCATGGGTTACCTTTGTAGACCAAAGACCACTTTCTTCTTACCCTCCTAAGCCTCACCTTGAAGCTCTTCCTCACCAAGGACTTCTCACCAAACCAAACCACAAGGAAAAACACCAAAATAAGATAAAGATACATTTAAGCTAGCTAAAAACACTAAACAACTAGAGGTCTTACCCTTTCCTAAGCTTGGGAGATGGAAAGGTGGAGTCTTGGGATGATTCTTTGCAAAGATGAGGTGTTCTTATTTTAGCTTGGAGGATAAGCCAACTTTTCTTAGAGAGAAGGTAGAGAGTTTAATTTAGGATATTGGCTAGTAAGAGGATGAATGAAATGTGTCTTGCTAGGGCAAGCTTGAACACCAATCATGTGTGAAAGGACAAGTTTACCCTTACTAAAAGGTTAGGAAGACAAAAGGCTAGGTACAGCACAAAGCAAAAGGTACTCATGGTTGACTAAGGAATTAGTCAACTTCTAGTCCCTTGACTATTAAATTTCAGGATTTTGGAAAGGAATTCACCAAGGTATTTTAGGATTAATTTCTCAATTAATCCTACTTAAGGAGTCGGATTTTCGGGGTGTCACAACCCATAAGGGCAAGACCAAGAAAGCTCCAGATCAAACATATCTCAGAAGGCCAAAAGAAAGTGAAAAGACG